GGTGACTTCCAAGCCGCTTGCCCTCCCAAGCAACCGGTACCTCCTCCTTTTTGGAGGGAAACATTATTGCAGACTCTAATATTGCCCGTACAGGCCCTAGACTCAGACTGGTATCCGCCTAGACCTAGCGTACACTACTGGGCCTTTAAAAATGCCACTTTTGTCTTCTTCTACTCAAGCCTCCGGTACCTGCACATCTACCCCTTCCAGGTGTGGTACCGGCCTACCTGCTACTTGAGTGCTTTTCCCCGCTGCAACCCCTCAATGTCACGGCCACAGGTAAGTACCGGCCCTGAGGGCCCAACGAAAGAGCAAGTGCCCTGACGGGCCACACACATACGCATGCCAACGAGCACTCAGACAGGCACGGTCACACACACACCCAAACCAACCAACACTCAGACAGGCATGGTCACGCACACACTCAAGCCAACCAGCACTCAGACAGACATGCAGTCCAGCAAGCGTGCACACAGACTTAGTAGCAGGCGGGAAACTCAGCAGGGCATTCAGTCTATGAGCAAAACTCAGAAATCAGCAGTGTGTTTCAGTCCATGTTTGGACGGGTCATCACGTTTTTATTTTTTTTGGCCCGGCCGGGCAAGTGACCCCGGGCCACTCTGGTAGCCTAGCAAAAACAATAATAGATCATTGACAAAAATTATCCCCCTCGTTAGATTGCTACTTAGTGGATGAACGATGTTTTTTTCAATATATACAAACAAAAATCGTAAACCACCATCAAAAATCATTTGTCATCATCGTCAGGTTGCCAGTTAGTGGTTGAACGAGGGTCATCGTCAGGTTGTCACTTAGGGGTAGTGTCGTCCACGTCCCGATCACAGCTCGGTCAGTCACACATCTCGGGGATCTCTAAAGATAAGCAAAATTATGAAAACCCAAAGAAAATATTCAATTATTTGCTTCCACAACATTATTGATGCAAAAAGATATCTTTCAAAACATCAACAAATCCTGTTTGAGTCCTTTTAGGATCTCATATATACCTTGAATTAACCCCACCGAAGAATGAACGACGACTTTTCCAAGATAAAATACAACTTGAATGACACATCTAAGGTGTCTTTCCGAATAGCAACAATGCCATGACTCAACATAAGTGTCATGATAAAACTGAATATTTTTTATTCTTTATTTTTTTTTGTCACCATCAAGCGCCAACTTGGGGTGCTGTCTCAGATGTTTAAAATGATATCAAACTCTATCATTGTCTCGCATAAACAAACGCTTAACACTCAAATTTGAGTGTTTATCTATATACACTAAAGAAAGAATGTACATTCTTTGAAGTACTTATCAAGATGAAAATCATATTATATCATCAAAATTGATATTATTAGTACTTATTACTGAAGAAACAGGTAAAAAAACCAACTTGGTACTGTACACAGGGTTTTCCCCTTGTTCTCACATAACGTCATCAAGAAAATGTAAATGATATACTCGTGCCATATGAAGAAAGAATATAACTGAAGATAGTAATTAACAAGCTGGGACCAAGACACGGTACTTGTCTGATGCATGTAATCCATGCTTCGCTGATTCTGCTGTCTCCTTTGTCTTTGAGTCAATTCTGTTTCATGAGAGCTCAATGTATTTGCGATTCAAGTTTCTTCTTCATGGTGTCCTTGTATTGAATCTAGGCAGCTTCATACGTACGGATTCTGAACTCTGGACCACAAACTGTCCGGACCCTGAACCGGATGCTCGGATCATCCCATGTTATGAACTTGTGAATCCATATTGTGCTAGAAGGATATGTGTTTACCTTTTTGTTTTCTTAACAGACATTGTCACATGATATGAAGGCTTCAGCGCATGGGTGGGGAGCAGCACCTGCTGGAAACCGGTTGCAGCATCCCGAAACAGTAGAATTCAGAGACCAAAAAGCTTTTGGGAAGACATGATTCTTTGTTTCATGTAATGAAAATCATTTAACAGTGGGGGGAACACACACCATCGTGTAGTGTCATAAGCTTTGTGGTGCATAGCACATGGTAGGTACTGTGTGACCCACTAAAAAAAAAAATGAGCAAGTGCGGTAGTACCACACTTTCGAACTGTAAAGGCAAAAAGAACATGAATGGGCAATGAAAAAATGGCCGTAGTTCGAAAAGGCAGAAATAACAGCAAAAGGCGGTAACATCAGGCCCCGAGTTCGAAAAGGCAGAAATACCGCATTTTGTAGGCCGTTTTTGTTTTTTTTGGTCGGTTGCACGCTGCGGCACAGCTGGAAGGAGAAAAAATAGTTTTTTTTTTTTTTTTTTTTTTTCAGTCCGACGCATGCCGCGCCGCGGCTGGAAGGAACAAAACCAGCCCCAAGGTTGGGCCACAGCCGAGATGTCTCGGCCACACCCCACATTGTCCATGGCCGAGATGTCGCGGCCACACCCCAGATTGGCCACGGCCGAGATGTCTCGGCCACACCCCAGATTGGCCACGGCCGAGATGTCTCGGCCACACCCCAGATTGGCCAC